GTATAGGGTTATGTTTACGTACGCTCACCGCGGAAATACGTACACAATCAGTTAATGAGCGCGTTGTACCGAATACCGTGGAAAATAATTATTTACTCAAAATATACACAAATATTTCTGTTTGAATTGCATCTACATTAACGTCATTTTAGATTATTAAAATTGAAAAATTATTTTATATGAAACATTTCTTATTTTGAGCATATTCTATGATATGAAAAAGTACTGAGATCTACTGCCTGGCACGCGGTCGTAAAAATCAATGGCAAAGTACCGGTAACCGTTTAAGAGTGTTAAAGAGCTTATTGACTTTTGAACAAATCACATATATGTATACGTATTACATGCATATGCACGCGCTCGCTGTAAGCGAGTCTTGACGAATGCAGATTTTCCTCAACCAGCTTTTACATAATGTACGGTAATGCGGCGTTGCCTCGGCACCGATTGCGAGACTTTTACTCGGGTCAATTTTTAGTTTTTTCTTTCTTTCTTTCTTTTTTTTTTTTTTTTTTTTTTTGCAGCACGTGCAGTTGGGTTTATTGTTTATACTTTGAAAATTATGTTTTTTCTTCTCTTCCATACTTACACATTTCATACACATATAGGCATAAAATCGATTGGAAAAAAAAAAAAAAAAAAAAACTATACACCCAAGCTCTATACGATTTCTTACTTATGAATACTTAATCTCTTATCGCGCTTTTTTATCTCACTGGGTCGCCAATGTTCGAAGGGTAATTTTCCCATCCCCCAAACGCCGTGTCAGTCCAATTATCCAAACGCGAACAATGGCTTTTAGTGCTTATCTACGCGAACGGGATCTTCGCACTCGCGCCACGGCGACCGCTCAATAAGTATATATATAAAATATGTACAGCTTTTCGCGGCTCTGCAATGTCGTGGTTAACGAAACTCCAATGGATGCCAATCTCTCGCGTGTACGCGATTGCTTGTTTGTACGGATTATCCGCGTGTGTATCCGTGTATTGGGTGAGAAAAAAAAAATGAATAAATAATAAAACTCGACAAACTGGAAGCTTTCTTTCTCTCGCTGTGGAATTTACGTAAGAACAACAATACACGACAGGAGAAAAAAAAACCACAACGCAGCTTAAGCGCGATTTTTTTTTGTTTTTTTTTTTTTTTGTTGTGCAATGGAAAGAGAGAAAGAGAAAATGAGCGTCTGGCGCCTGTATATATA